GTATACATTATCTCAAAAACTGGCTAATTAATCGGTGTGAGGTGTTCTAAGTAAAAATGTTCTACGCCCCCAAAAACCCTTCTCAAACCCTAATCCTAACCTTAATATTAACTTTAACGTGAAAAAGTTGGTTAAAAATTTTATATACAAAACTTATAAAAACTTAGAAAATTTAAAAACACATAATAAAAACATATAATAGGTGCAAAACCACCATAGGTGCGTTTTATAATAATTTTTAATTTTTGTTTTAAAATATAACATACAGCCATATTATAATAATTAATAATAAAAAATTATACGTTGTAAAAAACGTCTCTCCCACAAAAATCCCCCACTCGTGATTTTTATCAATTAGATCGAAAGATCATATAGATCAGGTGTAACGAAAAATCAAAACAACCTTCTTTAAGGTTAGGATTAAGTCACGCCAGGGAGGAAATTTTTTTTTGTGGGAGATCTAAAGGCGTTAAAAAGGTTTGTTGGTTAAGAAAAGTCGCGATATCACGTGAGCCGAAATAAGAGGGTTGCCCTGGTGAATTCTTAAATTATATACTAACCATAATAATCATAATTATGTAATTATACTAATTATACTCGAAATAGTAATTTTATTTGGGGCTAAAAAATCTGATAATCTATACAGAGATATAATGATAATGTATGATTATCGTGATTATCGTGACTATGGTTAGGTTGTTCCTATTTAGAAAGTATTTGTATTACAAATTCACTTTCGAAAAATTTTAAATAAACATTCCACTTGGAAACAATCGTTGTAAAATGCCCAAAACAAAAAATTCTGAATCTTATATCGGATCCGAAAATGTCCGTCTTGTCGGACTAATTCGTTTAATTTCTTCAGCTGGGCTGGCCAACAAGCTGATAATGTAAGCGAAACCCAACACAAAATCCATTACTTCTCCATTAATTCTTCCACTTCATCCGAACAATTAGCATTCCGATATACCATCACATAAAGTGGAAGATAACTTTATTGAAATTACATTTCATTATAAATATTACGATACTAATAATACTTTTTTGACCACAATCGTCAGAAATATGCATCATATAGGATAGCAAATACCTCTGGATTTGTGGCAGTGTATATAACATTACTTTTTTTAAACCCATTAAATTGGGATGCAGCGCATATAGTATATGCCCCCATTTCCTCGAAATACAGCCAATCGCCGGGTAATAAAACGGGAAGACTGCTCGCCGTGGTAATACAATCAATTGAATCACATGTAGGTCCCCAGATGCTACAGTCATACACGGGTTCATCCAAATTTTCACCAAATGTAAAAATTCCTCCTTTAAATAAAACTTTGGGATGAACTATCTGGTGGTCATACAAAATGCAATTGAAAGCTCCGTATACTCCATCATTGATATAATCTATAAGATTGATTGTTGAAAATTTAGCTTACCAAATCGACATATAACTCATAGATGCAAGTCATCGGACATGAAATATAAGAATCTCAAGATTCCAAGGTTAAATAATATACAGTTAGTATAACCCAATTCTAGGATCGATGAAGCACCCAGAGCTTTTACCCTAATTACTCAAAATTACGTTCTTCACAGACAATTACATACCTACACTCCCCTAACGAAAGTCGCCGGCTTGAGGGTCTTTCTATAGTAAAACAGTAAATATAAAAAATTTTCTGCTCTACTAATCTTCAATTACAGTTTAATAAAAATTCTTTTAAGAATTAGAAGGTTGTAAAGTTTACAAGATTTGTTGCTTAAGAATACTAACGCTTAAAGAAAAAATTTCAAAGAAAATATTTTACGTATTAAACTATAATTGAAGTTTGCGGCTATATAAATTTAGTTTTTACTAGAGCAAACAATTTTCGAGATTTACTGTTTTATTATAGAGAAAATCTTCAAGCCGGTAACCTTTGTTAAAGAAATGTATGTTTAAGTTTATATTGAATGGCAGAAATTCCACGCAATAGCTTGAAGAATCGAATAGATCGGTATAATTAAATTAAACGCATATATGTTAACTTTATGAATCTTGAGATTCTGTTATATTTACATGTTTGGTGACTTATACCTGTTTCAAATAACACTTACACATATATCCTGAATGATCTTCCCGAGTTGGTGATTCGTCATTTAAAACGGTATCCATATCCAAGGTTTGCACATCACCATTACTAAGTACAGTTCTTCGTGCAATGATATGAGTTGCGATAGTGAAGGCAGGTGCCGCATAATAACGTCCCGGTTCGGCAATGACACGAACGTTAGGCGGAAATAAGCTATCGATTTCTGGTCCAAGAATAGCCGCTATTTTTTCAAAGGTAATGCCATCACAATCGCGGGAATGTGAAAAACCACCTCCGACGTCGAGTAAATGAAAATTAAATCCTAGTTCCGAAGCTTGATCGAACACAAACTTAGCACGATGAACAGCATCGATAAAGGCATTTTCGTCGTAACATCCACTACCGACATGGAAGCTGAAAAAAAAGAGGAATTTAATTCTATGATATCTATAAGTAAATATAAACGCAAATTAAACATAAATTTCATAAATTTATAATACCTTACACCAATCACATTTAAATCCAATTTTCGAGCCGTTTGCAGCAATGACCCCGTAGAATCTAAGGAAGCGCCAAATTTTAGGCCCAATTTACAAAGCGACATAGAATCGTCAGTGAGAATACGAAGCACCAATTGAGCATCCGGGAAATAACGTTTAATTTTATAAAGTTCATCCGAATTATCAAATGTCATCATTTTGACATTATGTTCTGCTGCGTAACGCACAAATGACGCTTGTTTGCAAGGATTCGCGTAAATAATCTTTGATGGGTCAACACCAATATCAAGAACCGTCTGAATTTCAACTTTACTGGCGCAATCAAAACCCGTTCCTAATGCAGCGAGGAGTCTAAGTAGCAGTGGGTCGGGGTTGCATTTTACGGCTAGGGAATACAAATTATAGTTAATAAAATTCAAATATATAAATATACATGTACAAATTAAATAAATAGTCTGACGGTACCATAAAATGGTTCAATTCGTGGCAAAAGCGATTTCCAGCGTAAATGTTGATTATATACTTCGTCAAGGTTGGCGACAAAAAAAGCATTTTCAGCATCTGATTCACATCTATCAATATCAAGAGATAAAATGCGATTTCTTAAAATATCTTTGACCGGTAACATGCTAACGGTCGGAAGATCAATTTGGTAACCTGGTTTATGTTCTGAAGAAAAATGACTAGATTGAGATTTAGGGCCATATTGTTTAATATCGAGAAAGGTAGTGGTGCCAATATCATTCATCGAGCGTTTGGATTCTGGAAAATTTTATTATCTAACTAGGGAATACCGAGGGAACAGGAGCAAGACCAAGGCGGTGATCTCTATAAAAAAAATAATAATAATAAATTATAATCGGTTAATAAAAATAATAATAAAAATTATTAGAGACGACGCTGAAATCGGACGATGCTAAAATTTGGAGGTCTCAATTTGAAAATATAAATCCTAATAAAATCCAACTATATTCTTTTATTATTAACAACTCTAGCTCTAAATCCTAACTCAACCATGTTCTAATATCAATATCATCCGATTCAGTATTATCCTCACAAAATTAATAAAAAAAAATAGAAAAGTAAATACTATTCGAATAGAAAACTCGGAGTAGATAGATAACTCCAGTCATTTATTAGAAATTTTACCTGATGACCCCGGAAGACAATTAACTTGACGACTTGCTTTTGTAGCGCCGTGATGAAAATGCACCTTTCCGAAGAAAAGTGCCGGAGTAGAACTGAGGTAATTTATTGAGAACCGAAGCTTGCAGCTATTTATACTGCGTTCTTATTAATAAACTGGTCAAACCTGTACGGTATAACTTCCACTGCCTTTAGGAAAAAAATTTACTGCTTTGGTATCAGGTGGAAGGCCTGAGTATACTAAGAGGGCCGATTTAAAAAGTTTTAGCAGGAAAGAAAAAAAGATTTTTTTTTTTTTCAATAATCTACCAAACAAATGCTTTATTGGAACAAAAGATATTGCGTCATCAAGTGCTATATAATATCTGTAATACATAATAATATTAAAAGCATAAAAATACTATAGAAGTCTATACATAAGTGAATTTTGTTTCCTAGATACAAACACATAACTAAAAATACATAACTAAAGTGCCATCTACGCAAAGTCTAAAGGTTTTTTTTATTCTTTCCAGTCTTCGGTGCATTTTCGCACCATCAGCATTAATATCACGTGCATATGCTAACAATGTACTATGTCGACGACGCGTTCGATAATGGAATCAATTTTTATAAAAAAAAAGCGGTTTTGTCATTTTGAAAATTACTTCGCATTACCACAATATCATCGGACATAACATGAAATAAATAAAACGCGATAAAGCCCTATCATTAGGATATGGGCAGGCATAGTTATGTAAAAATTGTTAGGTAGTTTCATTGCGAGTTATCTGATCGAATTTTTCTTTATCTATGTTTATCTATGTTACACTTGATTTTGCAATATGATTGGCTGATCACAATGCAACAATTTCATACACAATTAAACAGATATAGGATAACTTTCTTCTGATTGGTCAATCGCTTTCAATTGTATTTATACAGTTTAAAGTACTTTTTAAGAAT